TATTTCATGTACGAAATATAGCGAAGATTTTTGAGGTTTGAAAAAGATTCTTAGTAAATAATAATCCGAATTTTATACTAGATTCTGCCATCGGTTTTGCCCTCGTTCCTGCGGAATAAAAAGTGCCTATATGTCATTCAAGACCATAATCTACCCCTATTTCAATTTACATATCAATCCCTTCAAGCGTTTCGGGAAGAGCAACAAATAAACATACATACAAACTATCACATTTATAATATTAGTAGGATTACATGATTATGGATTACTAGCTACTTTCGTGCGGTTTTACTCGCTCTACTCAGCGCCTATTAATCGTAGCGTGGTATTTTATAGTCTTCCTCGATAAATGGGCTATCCAACGCAGAAAGAATTTTTCAAATCGGATCAGTAGTTTCGGAGATTAGCGCGTTCAAACAAACAAAAAACTCTTTAGTTTTATAATATTCGTATAGATTACGTATAATAGTGTATTTTTTCTTTTCATTAGATAATATTATACATTTTCAGCCCTGTGTCTTCAGCCGTTTTGACGTAAAAGAGTAACAAACTGACAGACACATAAACTTTCACATTTATAATAGTTGTAGGATTATCTGACTACGTAATCTTGAAACTACGAGAAATAAGTATGGAGTAGTGAGTAGGTAAAACAAAACTTTACAGACAAGATAGTAATTAAGAAAAAGTTTAATAAATAAAAAGCAATAGAATAATAAGCTCAAATAATGTAACTTTGTTTGATTATACAACCAAAGTTAGTTATGAATTCATGTCTGAGTGAGCAAGACGTAAACAATATTAACAATATAAACAGTTATAAAGTGTCCTTGAATAAGTAGTTATAAAAATACTAACTACTCTGTGCGGTTTCACCCGCTCTGCTCAGATTCTATTGATCGTAGCGTGATGTTTTATAGCCTATAGCCTTCCTCGATAAATGGACTATCCAACACAAAAATATTTATTCAAATTAGACCAGTAACTCCGAAGATTAGCGCGTTCAAACAAACGAACAAACAAACTCCGTTTTATTTAATAATCACATTAACCGCCCATAATGCCCACTGTTAAGCAAAGCCGCTTCTCACACGGGGAAGGTTTGAGCTGAGCTGGTGACCCGGAGGTTTAAGACGCCCACTTCTCATGCATGAGGGTGCGGGTTCAAAATCTACCAACGGCAAGTACCAATGTGACTTTTTCCGAGTCATATGTACTTTCTAATATTATTCAGACACCACTGACAAACGGTGAAGAAAAACATCGTGAGGAAATCAGGGCTTACAATTTCTAATTATAAGTTTAAAATCACCAACCCGCATTGAGCAAGCGTGGTGATTAATGCTTAAAGTTTCTCCGAGAAGAGGCTTTGCCCAACAATTGGCATTTATAGGCTGTTGATAATGACAATATAACTTCTTAAGTGACGAGTCTATTACTTCGGTGTTAATTGATGAGTCGATATCTATTGCACCGAGAAAATAATCCTGGTTCTATTACTTAAAACTACTATTTAAAATTTGTAATTAATTGTAGGTTTTAACACAGTTCCAGTAATCTTCAACCTGAAATATCATGCTAAGCGGTAGAATTCGAATGAGCTATGGACCAAAAAGGTTATGTCCAAGAGAACGTAACATTGAGCGTCCCGGAATTTTATGTTCAACAGATAACGAATAAAAATCGCTCGTTTACGCTGCCTCGATTGAAACACGTGTTGCAAATAAAATAGTAATTCCTCTTTATTGTCAAAGAATCGTATCTCTCTCATCCATAAGGCAGAACCAATCAAATAAACATAAACATCGTACCGTTTACTGTATTCCCTAATATATTATTTACAACAACAGTCCGAAGAACTACGCCGCTTTTGGGAATTTCCCAATACGGACGGAAGTAAACTATGAATTATGAAAGTGTATTGCTTCGGGCAATTTTTTTTTGTTATTGAACCTTTGAGAGAGAATGTGCGACTAATAATTTTATTGCAAAACATTTTTTTTTATAATTGTGATTGATTTTAGGAATCAATGTTCTAAACTTGTCAGTATACATTTTACATGGTAATACATATTTATTTATTTCTATATATTTATTTAAAATTCTCTATAAATTACATTTTTAAACACTACTTATAAAATAAAAAATAATATTTAAAAATATGAACAATAGGAGCCGACCAGTAGCGGGAGCATGGTCCAAGCTACCGGTGGTTAGGGCTCCAGAGACAGAAACCTCCTCACGATACGTGACGTTTCTAGGAGAACTGCCTTCTATATCAGGCCCTTGATCCATCCACCTAACGCCAGCCTCCTAAGATGGATGTTGAGGCTTTTAGGGATTAACCCATTGGCCGACACGATTATCGGCACAATGATAGCCGAATCCACACTCCACATGTCAACGACCTCGTGAGCTAAGTCTAGATATTTTATTTGTTTATCTTTCTTAATTTATTTATTTATTTTATTAATTTATTTATTATTATTACAATTTGTATTCCATCACGGTACCTATATCTACGAAGTTAATAACCTAATACTACATTTCCTAAACAAATAAAATCCTAATGAATTCTACGAACAAAAACTAACAGATTAATTTCCTAACAACAAGTATAAGAACCGAATAAAATCCTCGTCCATTACACTAACTTTTCCCAAACACTGGGCCCAATGGGATAAAAGTTTTACTGCATTCCCATTAGCTACGCCATATTATCAAAAATAAAGTAACTTGAATACCCAATACCCAATGGTACGGAGAACGAATGAAGCCAGTGTTTAATAAGTCCAGAAATTCATTCATTCATAATTCCATAAGTTCGTTCATTTCGTTCATTCGGTGGCGTTGTGATCGGATTTATACTTCGCATGCAGAATGGAATGTGAATTATTACTTCGAATGGATTATGACAGCAGTTTCTTGTGGGTAGCTCACAGTTGAATAATAATTTTATTATTTTTACTTTCCGTGTAAAAGTGTGGGAGAGCCATGTTTCGGCACGAATGGAATCGATTACCAGCTTATCCCATAAATTAAACTAAAATTAACCAAGGTAAAGGTATAAAAACGCAATTCTCATAATAAAATCGTTTAAAAAAGTATCGTCGTTTCTTTATAAATATCACCTGTATGTAAACAAATAAAAATAATTTTAGCTATAAGTAGTCTACCGCTCCTGAAGCATTAATTTTCCCTCAAATATTGACACATCTTATTAAATACTATATTAAACACGTATTTCTTTATTTTGATGTATAATAAAATGATTCTTAGATATATCGAATCACAGTTTAGGAGAGGGGGCTAAAACGTCATTTCTACTTGATAAAATGTACATATAAGTGACGTCACGCGACATTTCAAATCAATAAATCGTCGAAAGTATTCGAATAAAAAATACGTGTGTAATGATTTAAAATAATTTACCAGACCGACATTAAAATAAAAATGAGTCATCTACCCTATTACGTAATCCTACTATCCTACTAATATTACAAATGGGAAAGTTTGTATGTGTGTATGTGACTCCTTCACGTTAAAACGGCTGAAGGGATCGGGATGAAAATTGGAACTGGGAGATTATGGTCCAGAATAACACATAGGCTACTTTTATCCCACGGGGACACGGACGAAGCCGCTGGCAGAGGCTAGTAGTCTATATAACAAAGTACATTATAATATACGATCACATAAGCGTATTACGCTTTTCCATTTTATTAGAAAATATTATATTGTGAATAGACACAAAAGGGAAATGTACTAGCTAGGGCATTATAAGATAAGATAGTAAGTGCAGATAATAAGATGCAGTTTACTTGGAAGTAAAATACTAAAGTATACTAAAAATAATGTAATATTAACGACAGAGCTAGTTTACGAGTATATAAAGAGTGACTGAGTGACTGCATGGTTAGCCTCGTGACCCAGTGCTGTGCTACGTGTCGCGAGTCCGATTCGCGCTCCAGCCAAATAGTGATACTATAATCCTGAGTAAAATTACCATTATTAACCCGGAGTTTTTGTTTTATGGCATAAGCAAATAAACAAGCAGACTGATCACTTGATGGTAAGCAATCGGTGTCGCCCATGTCACCTGAAACACCAAGGCGTTATAAATGCATTACCGGCCTTTTGAGAATTGGAAATTTGAGGTTTTTGGATGATTCGGGGATTGGGGAAACTGGCGAGGGGTGTGGGGCTTTCGATAACCTTACTCACGCGACGAAACACAACGCAAGCGTTGTTTCACGTCGGTTTTCTGTGAGACTGTGGTATCACTCCGGTGGAGCCGACCCCTTTGTGCCGAAGCATGGCTCTCCCACACTTATAAGGAGTCAGGAAGTTCGGCGGTGTTTCACAGCCGTGCCTCGGTCAGAAAGCACGTAAAGGCGTTGGTCCTGCACCTAATCACTCTCCAGTCGTATCGGTCTTCCGTTCCATAGAGTTCAGAGAATGAGGGAACAGAGAGTGCACTTATGTTTGCCCACACACTTGTGCACTATAATATATCCTGCGTAGTGAGCTAGTCTAGTTAGACTCGCCACCATGACCGAATTCGATCGGGAGATTTTTATTTATATACTAATAAAGAGTGCAGTAAATACTGTTTTTATTATCATTTTCTTCTATCTATGTAGTCAAATTATGTATAGAAAGGCACTAAATTTGAAATAACTATAAGTTATAATAAATTACTATTTAAACATTGTTTAGTTCAGTATTTATTATTCACTAGCGACCCGGCCCGATTTCGCAATATGCATGTATTGTACATAAAATAAAAATATTCCTTACGAATCACTCTATCTATTAAAAAAACCGCATCAAAATTCGTTGGGTAGTTTTAAAGATCTAAGCATACATACGGACATATAAATAAAGATCTAAGCATACATAGGGATAGACAAACGACGGATAGCGACTTTTTTTATACTATGTAGTGATTAACATGTTTTGATCACAACACTAAAATATTCATTTTGTTTTGTTACAGGAACAAAGGAGTTAACACAAACTTCGACAACTAATTTGGTAAGTAACTTACTTAAAAGTAGTAAAAAAATCATTATCAGCCTATTTCTACTTACTTTCGTTATGGCCAAATAAAAAAAGAAACCTCAGAAATCTTTAATTTCAACACATCAAATTAGGTACTTGCCAACTAGTTAAATTCAATACTTATTCGAACTGTCAAAAACGACAGTTTTCTATGAATTTTGTACGAGATTGTGTATTGTGACGTCAGGATTTTTTAGCTTCAAACAGCATACTTATTTCTTAATTTTTTTCCGAATAAATACTAAAATTAAGTCGCTCATAAAACCAATTAATGAAAGTGTGATTATTTTTTATATTTTATTCTATTGAACAGTCGTAATAATTTATTTTTTATTAAGGAAAGTACCCAATTGCTAAAACAATTTTAATACCTCATTCCCAAATTTTTAAACATTTCCTATTCCGAATTTAAATAAGTAATTCCAAGAAAAACAAATTCCCATCTTACCCTGAACATCTGAAACCACAGAGTAGAAAAATTGTACACTAAACGTACATATCTGAGCAGTTTAACATAATTTATGTGGTTCCCCAAAAGAATTCAAAATAAAATATTTACTATCTGTCTGTCAGTAACATCGTAAAACGAGTGGAATCGGTAAGAAACGGAATTAGAAAAACAGCCAGGTGCGTACCGTGTTCCCGTGTTATTGGTTCTGTAGATAATTAGATACGAAGAGGAAAATTTCCGCTTAGGTTGTGCTACGGTTTTTAACCATATGACATTATTGAAACAAGAAATCAAATATAAGCGACAGATACGATTTTTGCCCGGATGTTAAGAAGCTCGCTTCTCATGCAAGAGGGTTCAAGCCTATCAACGGCAAGTACCAATGTGACTTATTCCGAGTTATATGTACTTTCATTTCACTTTCTAAATACTCTTAGTATTTATACATCACCGACAAACGTTGAAGGAGACATCGTGAGGAAACCTGCGCTTATAATTTATAATTATAAGTTTTAAATCGCCATTCGGCATTGAGCAAGCGTGGTGATTAATGCTCAAATCTTCTCCGTGTGAGAATAGGCCTTTGGTCTGCAGTGGCCATTTATAATTTTCACGAAAAAAACTGTCACAATTTAAGAAATTAGTAGTAGGACTTAGGGTTGAAATTATCGCGATTGATTTCGCGGTTTAAAATATATCGTAATGCGAGCGCTCTTTACGTGGTTAGAGCGATAAACCGGTCATGGAAAAACTGTAGTGCGGCCTTAACCTAAGGTCATGTTTATATAGCAACTACATGCGTTGTACTACTCAAACATCATTAAACTGTCAAATACCAAGCGGTCACCGGTGACCGCAACCTATTGTTCTATAATTGTGTCTACAAAACCGGTACTCGACGAGTTAACGCACGTTAGTTTGAAAACGGTTTGGTTTTAGGCTGAATATATATTTTTTATTACTTCCACTGTCACACATTTATTGTCTTTTTTATATTTTACTAGCTTTTACCCACGGCTTCGCTCGCGTCACAAAAGGATAAAACTAGCCTATGTGACATATACCAATACACACAGCGCCATCTATACCAATACTTTTGTTTTACCTCGGGAATATCAAATTTTTCCGGGAATAACAGTACCCTATTATTTAATCCAGACTTCTAACTTTACGTCTGCAAAAATTCAAAGCAATCGGTTTAGTAGTTACGGCGTGAAAGCGGAACAAACAAACAAACAAACTCACTTTCCGATTTACCTCTATAATATTAAGTAAGGATTTATGCTGCATCGTGCCTGGTGCTGAATAAATGTTTTATCTTTCATTCTTTGTTTCTTTCTAATAAAATGCATATAAGTAGTTGTAAGCGCAAAACATGCGCTTTTGTTTTTGGCCCGACGTTTGACAACTATCTACCTTGCTTGGTGATAAGTGATGACGCAGAACGTCGTCTCATAAGCAACTTATTGTCTTCATGCCTTGAGTACACACAAGTTATAACCTTGAGGAAATACAGACTCTGACAAAGAAATCTACTCCTAAGCAGTTTGCACGAGGACGCTTGATGCGAAGCGCTTCGTGCGTGTGGGTGCGACATCTACCATGAATCAGTGACGCTTCGCCGATTGTCTTGTGGTACGATGATGGAAAAGGCTAGGCGCTCAACGTTTACCATGTAAATACGGGCTAATGCAACAAAATGTTTTCGTAATCGTTTAGTTTTTATATGGCTTCCCTTACTAATTATCTTTATCATTGAGAGGCGTGCCAAGAGGCTTATCGACGATGATGCGCTTGTGAAAGCCTTTCAGTTTTCTATCGGATACATTTCGGTGAGTGTGCGGATGAATAGCACAACTTGATTCCCCCTAGCCCTTTCCATCATCGTACCACAAGACAATCGGCGAAGCGTCACCGATTCATGGTAGATATTCCGCCCACACGCACGAAGCGCTTCGCTTTCAGCTTCCTTGTGGGTACTGCTAAAGAGTGGAATTCTTTGCCAGAGTCTATATTTCCTAAAGGGTAATCGGATAGTCTTCAAGGCCCGAGTGAATAGGTTGCTTATGGGATGACGTGCTCCATCGTAGACCGCATCATCGCTTACCACCAGGCAAGATAGTGGTCAAACGTCGCCCCATCAAATATAAAAAAAACATTTCTATCTTCATTATTGAACAGTAGATCCCTAAGGTGAAGCACAAATGGTACAATTGTTATTCTGTCTATAATTCTAGTTAGGAAATGTTAAACTCAAAGGATTTATAGTCAAACTAATTTGCGTAATGGTTTTAAATAAACTAGTTAGCTGTTAGTTCAAAGCTTCCCACTGTTCTTAAAGAGGTCTCGGATATTATTCAAAGCCCTTTTTCATCAGTACCTACGGACAGCCGAGTTATTTAGCATGCAAATTGAATCAGTGTCAATAGAGATAGTGGTTATTGTAATATTAAATTGTGTGTTTTAAGGAAAGCCTTCTATCCTCTGTAAGTAGGTATTAGTGAAATCAAATTCTGGAATTGGAATGCTTTGCCAGAGTTTGTATTTTCTGAAGGGTTATAACCTGGGTGCCCTCTTCAAAGCCCGAGTAAATAAGGTTGCTTATGAGACGTGATCCATCGTAGACCGCAGCATCGCTTACCACATGACGAGCCGAATGACGGCCCACCAAATATAAAAAAAAACAGAAGGCAAATCATGTTTACTGTGTCAATTGTTTCAAAGTCAAAGTCAAAGCATTTATTTCAATTAATTCTTAATTAGGAACTTTTGAAACGTCAAAAATTTTATTGTCCGTCCATCTGTCTGTCTGTGAAGATAGGCGCTCGTTCCAAAGTGACGAACGACACTAGTCGTATGGAGAAGAACGTGTAAGAAACTCTATCGTTACTCTTTAAGAAAAATTGTTTTTACAGTCTCATTGAAACATTATCTGATCTCTTACTAATATACCTCTATTATAGGGTTGAGTGACTGAAATAACGAACGACACTTAGGGGAAAACTCAACTTATATTGAATTAATTACATTCGGAGCACAATAAACGGAATAAGACAGAACTTGCATGAATATAACAAAGATAACCGTTAGCGTTACTGATTTAAATGTGAATTAGTCGGCGCGCGGCTCGACCGCGCGTGCGCTCGGTTTTATAGATTTCGCGTCACTGACTAGAGTTGCGGCGCGGGCGCGGACTCGTGCCGAGCGTCTAGTTAGAGATGGGGTGTGCAACAATACATTAGTCTTACTAATGCGCGCTATGCTATATTATAATAATATGTGAGAACGATGTAACGACAATTATACAACGTCAAAATTTAATGGAAACGAAATCAACTCCCGAAATAAAGTAAAAAGCTATGAATGAGTATTTCAAACACGGTGCTCACTTATGTACGCTTACAATTTGAAATAATGCTACTATACATACAAATAAAAATCATTGATGAAGTCTTTATTCGAAAAAACTAATAGAAATGTTCGATGCTATAAGATGCTGAAAGAATTATGGCTTAACCCCTGGTATACGGGGACGTAGATATACGAGAGACACAATGTGTTTTCTATTGTGTGCCCGGTATATGGCAATAGGCTCACCCCCTATTACATGGGACTCGTAACATAAATAGTGAAAAGTGGGTGTTACATTGTACAGTGGCATAATGTGCACCTCTGCCTACCCCTTCGAGGATAAAAGGCGTGATGTTATGTTATGTTACAATGTGTTTTCTATTATGTCTCCCATGCCGGCAGATAAAAGGTTAAATGCCATTTCCATCTATAGTTCTGCATACCAAATAACTAGACTGACGACATACTACGGAACCCTAAACGCGGTACTAAATTAGTTAGACAAGATTTATCGATGCGTTTGTATATAGACGGCTATGCTTATGTAGTACAAAGTTTATGTACTGAACGGTGCAGAATTCCAATGTATGTTGCGTTTTAAATAGGAGAACATTAAATGCTTAAATTTTAAGCTTTTGAAGATTTTCGTAGCCATGTTAAAGAAGTGTTCTAGAGTTTAATGGTTAGAGGATATTATTATTTAGCTATATTAAAATTATTTATTTATTTATAATTCATGGAGGACTTACAGCTTATAAAAATGGATAAAAATAACAATAGGCGTAGGTAACAATGAGCCAATAACAAGTCCTCACGTTTAACATTTGAAATAAATAAATTAATATGGTGTGAGTAAATTAATTATTGTTGTATTTTCGGCTATAAAAATAAAAATTAATTATTGTATTTTCGGCTTACTAACGTAACCGTTTGACGAGTTCGCGGGTCTTGGAATTCTGGTCATGAATATGAGCTTCTAGCGTGGCTTGAAACTAGTCGATTGCCTCGTTAAACAGTTACGTGGTATTCGGCTCATGGACATGAGCCTCTATTATGGCTTGAAACTAGTCGAGTTCCTCGTCAAACAGTTAGGTACGTGACTAAGCTGAAAATATAATAATTGATATTGTTTTTATTTTAAGGGAATTATTCGTAAAGCACAATATGAAGT